GTCAGCCACGAGGTAGGGGCGCGCCTAGGGGGGTAGGGCACGCCCTCCACCCTCGTGGATGACTCTGGACTCTTTTGGCCCAACTCTTTTGCTTCAGGGGCTTCTTCTATTCCATAAAAAATCTTCGTAAATTGGCAGGTTAATTGGACTCCGTTTGGTATTCCTTTTCTGTAAAACTCAAAAACAAGGAAAAAACAGAAACTGGCACTAAGCTCTAGGTTAATAGGTTAGTCCCAAAAATCATATAAAGTAGCATATAAATGCATATAAAACATCCAAGATGGATAATATAATAGCATGGAACAATCAAAAATTATAGATACATTGGAGACGTAGCAAGGATCCCTAAGATCGAGTGCGGGAGGAATAGGTTCCTCCTTCGGCCCCTTATAGTTTATGATCAACTCATCTTTATAAGATTTTCTTTGGTGGAACGTCATAAGCTTATCTCCTAGTATGAACCCTAATTCGTTGTTTTGTATAGCAAAATTATCATTGAGTTCAGAAATCTTATCAACCAAAACGTCGGTAGGGACCCTTTTTCTCAAATTTTCATTATAGGCAACATAATTCGGAGATTGCAATCTCATTATTTCTTCTTGATTAAAAAGGATCTCCTATATAGGGGGGCAACCACCATTTATTTTCTAATGAGCAAAAATTTTGTTAGCCTCTTTCATGATGAATCTAAGCTCATGAGCTAAAAATATAGTAGTGACGCGCTTAACAGAAGAATGCTGAATATTAGAGAACTCTAGAAAAATCATTTGTATGCAAGGATGCATATGAACAAATTATCTTTTGAGTTCAATTATGAGCAAAGTTATTGCATCCGCAAGACTATTAGTTTTATTAAGAATAGATCCTCCTAACGTAGGTAGCGTACCAACACAAGTAAACAAATCTTGAATAACACATTTTCCATTAATATTACCGCTACCAATGTAGAATTTTTTAGTATGCATGATAGTAGGCTCTTCATGAGGATCATTATTAGCAAAGCCATCAAAATTTTCCTCAATATTACTACTATCTTTTTCGATGAAAACCTCCCCAGATTCAGACATGATAGTAACAAACTGATCTAGCAACCAAGCAAACGAAAAACAAAAGAAAAGATGGACGGAAGAAGGGCGAATAAAAAGGCAAATCTTTTTGTATTTTTCTGAAAATGTTTTAGAAGTGGGGAGAGGAAAACAAGAGGCAAATGGCAAATAATATAATGCAAGAGGTGAGAGTTTATGGTGTGTACTTGGTAGGCTTGATGTAGATCTCCCCGGCAACGGCGCCAGAAATTCTTCCTGCTACTTCTTGAGCTTGCGTTGGTTTTTCCCTTGAAGAGGAAAGGGTGATGCAGCAAAGTAGAGATAAGTATTTCCCTCAGTTGAGAACCAAGGTATCAATCCAGTAGGGGATACAAGCAAATCTCCAATCTATGTACCTGCACAAACAATCAAACACTTGCACCCAACGCGATAAAGTGGTTGCAAAGGTGAGATCTGATAGAGATAGATGTAAAATATTACTAAAACGTAAAACAAAATAAAAGTAAATAAATTGCAGCAAGGTATTTTTGGGTTTTTTGGTTTATAGATCTGAAAATATATGATGGAAAATAGACCTGGGGGCCATAGGTTTCACTAGAGGCTTCTCTCTTGAAGGAAAATAATACGGTGGGTGAATAAATTACTGTGGAGCAATTGATAGAAAAGCGCAAAGTTATGACGATATACAAGGCAATGATTATGCATATAGGCATCATGTCCGTGTCAAGTAGACCGACTCCTGCCTGCATCTACTACTATTACTCCACCCATCGACCGCTATCCAGCATGCATCTAAAGTATTAAGTTCATAAAGAACGGAGTAACACCTTAAGTAAGATGACATGATGCAGAGGGATAAACTCAAGCAATATGATGAAAACCCCATATTTTTACCCTTGATGGCAACAATACAATACATGTCTCGCTACTCCTACTTTGTCACTGGGTGAAATCACGCAAGATTGAACCCACAACTAAGCACCTCTCCCATTGCAAGAAAAACCAATCTAGTTGGCCAAACCAAACCGATAATTCAAAGACAAATACAAAGATATCAAATCATGCATATAAGAATTCAGAGAAGATTCAAATAATATTCATAGATAAGTTGATCATAAATCCACAGTTCATCGGATCTCGACAAACACACCGCAAAAGAAGATTACATCGGATAGATCTCCAAGAACATCAAGGAGAACATTGTATTGAAGATCAAAGAGAGAGAAGAAGCCATCTAGCTACTAGCTATGGACCCGTAGGTCTGTGGTAAACTACTCATGCTTCATCAGAAGGGCAATAGAGTTGATGTACGATTTGCCACCGGCACTGCCTTCACAACGGCCGGTGGTGGTGGTAGATGCCTTCAACGCCACTTTAGGATCGATAGTTACACTAGTAGAAAAAGGCTCATTTGTCCTGGTTCATAAGGCCCATAAAGGGTCAGTACTAAAGTCCCCCCCCCCCTTAGTCCCGGTTGTGTTACGAATCGGGACTAAAGGCCCTCCACGTGGCTGCTCTTTGGAGCTCCACCTTTAGTCCCGGTTGGTAGCACCAACCGGGACTAAAGGAATTTTTTTGAAAAAAAATTGATTTTTTTTCTTATTTTCAATTTTCTGAATTATTTGACAATTCAATCTCTAATCACCCACTCTAATCACCCCTCATCACTGCTCAATTATGAACCACTCATTCCAAATCGTCTAACTTCCTGACCGGTCACCCATCCTCTCATTACTCCAGCCTGAGCATGCTTAACTTTCGAGTTCTATTCCCCTAGTTTCCAAGTATGCACTTGTTGTTTTCCTGACAATACTAAGCTGTCAATCCTATTAACCCCTAGGAGTTGAACTTGAGCATAAGCACCGTTTGAGTTTGAAACTATTATTCTAAAAACAATAATTATTTATTAACACTAATATTTCTTGAATAAGTAGTTTGACCACAGTTTGACTAGATTTGAAAATAGTTTGACCAAAAGTTAAAAAAAATAACAATATTTATTTATTAACACTAATATTTCTTGAATAAGTAGTTTGACCATATTTTGACCACAGTTTGACCAGATTTGAACATAGTTTGACCACAGTTTGACCAGATTTGACCATAGTTTGACCAAAAGTAAAAAAACTAAAAATAATTATTTATTAAGACAAATATTTCTTGAATAAGTAGTTTGACCATAGTTTGACCAGATTTAACAAAAAATCAAAAAAACTAAAATTTGAGCATATCTTTTTTCCTTTCAGAATTTGAGGATTCTAAAAATTTGCAAACGGGCCTACGGCTGTCAAAATCGGATGCGGATTTTCGTGCTGATTTTTTTGATATATTATGCGTTTTTTACATTGTATGCAAAAGATATGGTTGTTTTACTTTTTCATAACACTTTTTTGCAAAACATGTCCAAATTTAAGTTTTTACATTTTTTCTAACTAGTAGATGTAGTAATATAACTACATCTCGAAGGATTTTAATTTTCTCAAACCGGGACTAAAGGGCATCGTACCCTTTAGTCCCGGTTCATGTCTCAAACCAGGACTAAAGGTCCCATTTGAACGGGGACTAATGCCTTCTCGACGCCTTAGCCGCTCGAACCGGGACTAATGCTCACATTAGTCCCAGTTCGTGATGCAACCGGGACTAATGCTCACATTAGTCCCAGTTCGTGATGCAACCGGGACTAATGTGTATATTGGGTTGTGATCAAAGCCCTACTAGTGTTAGGATTAGGAGTGTCAGCCATGAGTTGTGTCTTATCTTTCTAACAACCCCAAATCCCCTTTATATTGTTTTGGCACTCAAGACCCGGGACCAAAACCAATTTGGTGCCCCCGATAAGAGCACTCACGTGAGAATTCTGTTAGCTCTGTGCGAATAGGCGAAAGCGTCTTACCTTCGATGTGAGGGGGTGTGTTACGTGTTATAGGCTGCAGGGGCGCACCTCCCTGACAATAGTGCATACAAGTTTGTTGGAGAAGATTACAACTTGGAGAGGAAGAGATAAAGAGATAAGAGAGGTTTACAAGATAATGGAGGACTTGTCTAACGACCTAGTCTATCTCATGTACGTCTCCTGTGCGCCAAACTCTGAAGCCATCGTACCACATATATGTGTTTAACACCCTCCCTTAATCACAACTTCATCAAGTTGAGATTATGTTTGAAATCTTCAAAGCTTTTAGTGGGTAAAGGTTTTGTGAATCCATCTGCAATCTGATCCTTGGAATGCACAAAACATATATCAAGTTTCTTCTGAGCCACCCGTTCTCTGACAAAGTGAAAATCAATTACAATGTGTTTGGTCCTGGCACGAAACACTGGATTAGCAGACAAGTATGTAGCACTTAGATGTGAGATCGATGTAGACCGCAGAATCATTTTATTTAATATTGCGTTGGCAGGGTCTTGAACTCAAGACCTCTAGGCTCGGATACCATATTGAATTCATGCTCCAGCCAACTCATCCAAAAGTCCAAACTGATGGAGGAAGGCGGGCAATATATTTCAACAAACACACATGATGAAAAAACATAGTTATTATAGAAGAGGCTTTTAAGCCCATCTTGCTTAGCACTGTGAAGGAGACGGAGGATTTACAATTGAAATCATTCAAACCGATAGTTAAACTTAAACCAAACACTCTCTGCATCTCCCTCCTTATATGAGGGCTTACATGCAGTTCAAGCTTTGTTAGCTAAGTAATAATACAGTTATTAGTCACAACATACGCTATGAACATAATAAGTACTAAAACATATGCTATTAAGTACTCCTTCCGTTCCATAATTCTTGTCAAATTGAACTACAACCATGATAAGAATTATGTAACGGACATAGTATTATTAATCACAATGTATGCTTTAGGGTATGATGTAAGAACTGAGGCAAATCTCAGTAATTACCCTATATCACTGAACAATATGCGTTTAGAAAGCAACTTAATTTCTCTATGGTATGAATATGGAAGTGCATGCTATAATCAGGGTGGAGATGGAATCAGCCTCAAATGTCCTGGAGCATATAGTACTTGACCGAAGCGCGGAGCCGACTAATCTGCCGTTAGCACTTTTAAAACACATCACTGAGGATTTCAATGATAAGCAACAAATTGGCTGTGGTGGATTTGGAATTGTTTACAAGGTAAGTAAATTCTAAAATCCCCAGTCGTAAAGGCTTTTTTAGAGCAGAACTGAATTTGGTCCCAAAACTCTTGATTGTGCTAACAAGACAAGTTAAACAGGGCGATCTTCAAAACAGTAGTGTTGCTGTTAAAAGGATTTTAAACTACCATACAATCAACGATGAATCATTTAATCGTGAGACTACTTCTCTAATCAGTGTACAACACAAAAATATTGTACGGTTTCTAGGCTACTGTGCTAATACAGAGAATAAAGCGATGAAACATTCAGAATCGGGAGAACCTTCGAAGTATATTTTTGCCGAGATGAGGGAAAGGTTACTCTATTTCGAGTATATAAAAAATGGAAGCCTTGACAGATATCTTACTGGTACGGAATGCATGTGGGTTGATGAAGTTCCTTTCCTTACCTGATTTACCTTTCCATTTCCTCAGTTTTACTCTCGTTTTACTTTTGTAGACGAACTAAGGGGACTTGAATGGCATACGCGCTACCAGATAATTCGAGGAATATGTGATGGTTTGGTTTATCTTCACACAGAAAAGGGTATTGTTCATAGGGACATGAAACCTGAGAATATACTGCTTGATGATCTTATGATACCAAAAATTACAGATTTTGGTATTATCAAAACTCCTTGATGGAGCAACACACATTGTCACCAGTGACCCCACCGGATCACGGTAAGCTTGCATGCGGAGAACTCTCATGTTCACCCAACTAAAACGTTTCACTTCATCCAAAACCATAGATAATATAACCGAATATTATGCTTTCATGCAGTGGATATTGTGCTCCGGAATTCATATCTCGTGGTGAGGTGTCAACCAGGTCAGACATATATAGTCTGGGCGTTATAATCAAAGAGCTCGTGACTGGATGTAAGGATGAACCTGATATTCGGAACGTAAGAATTATTCAACTCCGTAGTTCAAGTTTGTTATGTTATTTTATTTTCCAAATACTTTGAATACAATTGTAATGAAACTGAGATCTTGCTGTATTCGTATGCTTTTTCGATAGAAAACGCTTTTATTGACTCAAAATGTAGCATCAATCGAATACAAAGTATGATGAGCAACGCCCAGTCTCTGCATAACTAAGATGCACATGGTCAAACATCAAAAGTGATGAAAGATGATACAAAAACATATCAGCAACAGTAGTCTCCTATGACCGACACTATGCCTATGTCGAAAGAGGTGGTGGACCGATCCAGAGATTATGCTATCACCCATGTTGGGCAAAAACCTCCCTGGCAACCCGCTTCAACCGCATACACACTGTCTTGTACATGATTGATACTATGCTCGGCGTAGCGTAGACCATGTACGAAGCGAGTGTGTAATGGAAAATGAACTGTAAAGTAGTACATAGCCACGAAATTTTATTATTAATGTACTAGATCAAATTTTAATCAATGAAAATGTTATACACCTATACTGAAATCAAGTATAACAAGCTCTGGAACAAGTACTATTGGTGAAGTGAAGGTGTTCCCTGTGATGTCTTGAATAGCTCTTAGATCATGTTGGTGCAGAGGTCGGGTGCAATTGATACCTCCTTGATACTGATATATTCCTTTCATAAAAAAATCTCAAAAGTTTTTGTTATGTGAAATTTACATAGGGATTATCTTGATATTTGAGATCCAGTTGATGTTATTCTTCTTCTCTTCAAATCATGTTGATGTTTTTCAGTTGCTTGCACAAAACTTGCATTTTGTTTGGAAAAATATTACAGGGTCATTATAAACCGCCTTTGTGAAATGATAGGTACTTAGAAGGTGGAGGTATAGATGGAATAAATCAGCAAACTATCCACCATTTGGATACCAACAGGTAAGTAAATGCATTGAAATAGCGTTAAGGTGCTTGTCAGACTTGCCAAAGAAGAGGCCTAAAATATCAGATATAGTCAGTATGCTTAATACAATGGAAAGTACGAATGAGCACATTACCAATGTTGGCACCTCTCCAGCTGTCCCGGTATGCTCGTCGCATGCTCTAGAATTTTGATTTACTGCATAACCTTGTTAGCTTAGAAAGTACTTATGGAAGTGCCAAATCTTTTCATGAAGATAAGCGCTTACCCATGGGAGCTACTTGAGTTTGACTCGCTCGAGCTGAATTTCCCGTTCGAGATAAACAAGAAGATATTGTGCTCACTTCGGCTAACTAATGTAACTGATGATTATGTTGCCTTCGATATCGAAATGATGGGCATACTACGGTATTGCATTGAGCCGGAGAAACGTGCTGTGCCACCACGATCGAAGTGCAATGTCATGGTAACACTGCAATCACATGAGAGGGTACCACATGCTATGGTGTGCAAGGATGAGTTATTCATTTTGCGGTGTGCCGCCGTGAGTGAGGGCCTCACGGCTGAGGATATCATTGATGACATGTTAAATAAGAAGTCGGGTAAACAAGAAGTCGATAAGGTGACATTGAAGGTTGTTATTTTGCCCATCACCCTCGACCAAGGAACCGAAAGTGTTTATTGTGTGCAGTTCTAGGAACATGGTTTGCCTAGATGGGTTTAACGTCCTTAGGACGGCAACATCAACACCGTTTCTCGACAGAGATTATAATTTGTGCACCGACCAAAATTCGAGCTGTGCAACCTCTTTTCAGGTCAAAAGGGCTTGTCAAACGATCCTTGGTGATTTGAGACCATTCCTGCAATTACATGGCTTTGGAACTCATGTTGTCCGCTAAGACACAAGATCTTTTTTTTGGTTATTTCTATATAACACGCTCAACATCAAGGAAATGCTTCAGAGAAAGGTTTTTGTTTTCATCTAGGATTTTACATGTCATATGTGATCAAAGAGCTCTTGAGACCCGACTCCCGAGATCATCTATTTTTACCATCGCCAATTTACTCAAACTTGATGGCGGCACATTTACCCAAACTGACATCCTATTTCTGGCAACATTCAGGAGAAGCTAGATGATCTCAAATCTTACCTCCAAGTACCTTCTTTTTCTTTCTTGGAAATTATCACCATAGTTCTGTGGGCTGTTTAGAACACCATGAATGACATCATCTTCACAGGGACATCCCCAAGCCTACTCATGCAGGCCAAAGTATAAGGAGGAGCTTCACTGGCTTACTTTCAGGGCAAAAAAGAAGAGATATGCACAGTTTGACTTGAGGCCCTTTCTAGGCACTCCTGGTGCCTTCTCTGTTTTAGATGTATAGCCTGTTCTTTTTTTGTTTTGTTTAGTTTCTTCTATACATTACCTATTTGAAAATTTATAAAAAATCATTGGTGGAAGAAGTTACTGATTCCCTCGTAAATCGTAGTAAAATCAAGCCAATACCCTTGCAAATATTTCATTGCATGCATCAACTTGATTTACATTCCCCGGAACAGATACTCTGCATTGTAAATTTATGAATATCCATTTTTAATGGAACAAAACAAAACTTCCGAATATTTCATTTCGTGAATCAACTCATGATTCTCGTATTAAGACACTTCTGTACACATTTTCTAATTTGTAAGGTCCTATGGATGGGATTCCGCCGCAATTTGTGGGTAACGAGAAGGGACTCATTGGTTGACTCTATCATGTGCCCTGAGTCCCGACTCAATTGTTTGCACAGACATCACAATCATACGAGTAGCAAATGAATACCCTTCGTCCCACAATATAAGATCATTTTTCAAACTAACATATCTTGAAAAAACGATTTTATATTGTGGGACGGAGGGGGTAGTTTTCATGCCAAACATGCTATAAAAACCAAATGTCCAGGAATCACGATACTAAGATACATTGCACAATAGTCAAATCAGTGGGCTCATAGACCACAGGTACAAGCGAGCTTGTTTGTACCTTTTTTCCGCAAAAGAAAAGGTACAAACAAGTGTAGAAATTCAGATTTCCTCGTCCAAATTTGTTTTCAGTCCAGATCTTTCAATTATTATTATTTTTGGGAAAAGGAGGTTATCCCCCGGACTTTGCATCTGAAAGATGCATGCGGCCATACTATTAAAAGGTTCGTAAAAAAGTCTTAGATTCATTACAGCTCTCTCAATTATTGCCTTGGAGAAATGCATTAGGTGTTAATGGTGACTTGTTTTTTTTTTTGAAAAGGAAAGATGGCTCATGGCCAACTTTATATTTCAAAAAACAGGCATGAGCCTGATTGTTGGTTACAGAAGCTTGCTTCATGCACCAAGGTGCATGGCCGCAAGTAACCGGCAGAAAGAGAGGGAGAAGAAGCAGAGAACAGAGAGAGGTGTCAGCTACACTTTGCTTATAAGAAACTAAGCTTCAAACATCCTGGCCCACGCCTGCATGTCTGCCTTAACAGTATGTTTAGGAGTTCTATTGGCCCACAGTCGGATCAAGCTGGCATCATAGGATCTGATCTGAGGCTCACACCAGTAGTTGTATTGAAAACGCGATCATTTCTGGCGTGCCACAAAGCAACAGCAGACACCGCGAAAGTGATGTGCCACTTCCTTTTGAAATGTAGCTGACTGTCTGCCTGAATGAAGAAAGACTAGATATCCGGAGAAATGCAAGTGAGAGTATTCAGCATAAACTTGTCCCAGATAGCGTTGGCAGACCGGCATCGTAGCACAACATGGTGGACAGTTTCCAGAGCCGGGCAGATGTTGCAGCAAGCGGACGGAGCCACCGCAACCCAACCTTTTTTTCATGAAATTGCGAGTGTCGAGGCGGCCCCAGAAAAGTAACCACATGAAGATTCTGTACTTAAGTGGGATTATTGGGTCCCAAATCCACTGCTCAAAACCCCAAGGCACCCCTTTGAAGGTGAGCAGGCGATAGAAAAGGCCCGAGTTCAACATGTTTCCAAGAATGAGGGGCACACGAGAATCTGACCTGGAGCTGACAGGAGATGATGGCGCAATTAACTGTTGTAATTGGTGAAGTTGCTGAACCACACAGTGTGATAAGTTTGGATGCAGAGACAAGTTCGAGCTCCCAGCGTTATATTGTGATTGAACCGAGCGGTGAGGATGTCGGGCGAAAAAAGAACAGGGTAGGAAACAAGAGCTTCGGCCTGCCCTCCAGGAGCCACTAATTGTGCCAGAAAGAGATAAGAGCCCCATTGCCAAGAGAGCATCGCGAGGAGGAGATGACCAGGGGGATACAAACCTTGAAGCCTTTCCAAATAGCAGTGTCACGCATGCTGGCATTGTGAGGAATGGACTCACTACAATATTGTGTGGTGAGCCAACGATAGCATGGAATGTCTGACAGTTGTAGGACTTTGGCCACAAACTTGCAGATCAAGGCCTGATTATGTGCCTGAAGATTTCTGACACCCAGCCCGCCATTGGCCCTAGGCAAGACAACTTTGTCCCAGGCTACTAGGCACTGGCCTCCCTTCACTGTGTTCTTGCCTTGCCAAAAGAAAGCTCGAAGCAGACCATCTAGCTTGTCCAAGGAGGCCATAGGAAACATGCCATGAAGTATGTATGGA